TTCTACGTTCTTATCTGGGCCCTGCGCTTCGGGACCACAGAGTGCACGGGGATTTTGCGACTAGACTGGTGAGTCGCGGCATGGCTCGCCTTGTGCCAGCCGAGGGGCTTGGCGACAGCAATGCAACGGTGGGTTTATTCTTCGTCAAGAAAAACGCCAGAGGCAGAGGATCACCTTTGACGCCAGGTTGGCGAACTGGGATTTCATGCCGCCGCCGTCGACGCACTCGCCCTCGGCCGCCGCCTTCGCGAAGCTGGAGACGCAGGAGTGCGACGTCGTCTGGTCCAGTAGCGGTGACGTCAGCAACACCTTCTACGCCATCGAGGTGCCAGAAGAGTTGGGGTCCTGCTTCGGGCTACCTGCGCTGCGCGGCGGCGCGGTGGGCTTGCGGGGTCGCAGCGCTTCGACGCTCTTCGTGCCGGTGCTGGCGGTGTTGCCGATAGGCCGGAGCTGGGCGCTGCACCTCTGCCAGCTGGTCACGGAGGAGGGGCTTGCGCGAGGCGGCCAGCGTGCCGAGGTCCTCGTGAGGGATCGAGAGGCCCCTCGCCCGCTGGGCCCGGGGCGCCCGCTGGGCGCGGCCGCGTACGTCGACGCTTTCATGGTCATGGGCTCGCCGAGGCAGGACGTCGGCAGCGCGGGGCTTGCTGTCGCGGAGGCGCTCACCAGCCAGGGCGTCACGATCCACGAGGAGACCAATGGGGCCGTGTGCCAGACGGACTCCGTGGGCCTCTCATTCGACGGGCGCGGCCGCGCGGCGCGGGTATCCACCAGGCGCGTTTGGAGGCTGCGTCTGGCTATTGAGGAGCTCTTGGGCTGTCGTACTTGCTCAGGGCACGTGGTCGAGATCGTGGTGGGCCATGCGACCTGGATTTTGATGGTTCAGCGGTCTTCCCTGTCGGTGTTCAGCTCCGTGTACGCCTGCGTCAAGTCCAAGGGCATCGAGGAGGGCGAGTTGTGGCCGGCCGTGGGGGAGGAACTGTGGCACGTCAGGAACTTGCCGCCGCTGATGGCGGCTCACACCCACGCCAACTGGCACGGCAAGGTCGCGGCCAGCGACGTCTACTGGAGCTGCGGAGTCTGTGAGCGCGAGGCGGCCGTGGAGGAGATCACGCGCTGGGGGCGGACGGCCGAGCGCTGGTGGCGCCGCCAGGGCCCCACGGCCGCTCGAGCCCAAGCCTTCGGGGGCGAGGGCGCCTCTGCGAAGCTGGAGCAGCTGCTGGTGCCAGACGACTTGCCGAACAGCTTGCGCCAGGCTGACGAGCATGCGAGGGCCCTCGACATGGCCCACGCGAGCTTCACTGTCCCAGAGGCGCGGCATATCGTCAAGTCGTTCCCTTGGCGGGGCCCAGCGAACACACCGCGGCTGGAGGGGCTCGCTCTTTCGAGCTCGCTTCGACATTGCTTCGAGATCGGAAAGCTCTCGGACGCCGAGTTCTGCTCTGTGTCGACAACCTGGGGCTGGCTCTCACCGCCGGGAAGGGCCGATCGTCGGCCTTCCAGCTTCGAGACATCCTTCGTGAGATTAGCGCCCTCACCTGGGCGCGCCGCCTCCGCGCGCGTGTCCGCTGGGTCCCGTCGGAGAGGAACCCGGCTGATAACCCGTCCCGAGGCTTGTATTACTTCAAGCCGCAGCTGGAGGGGGAGGCCGCCGAGGTGGCGCCTACTGCTGCTGGCGCTGGGCCTGGCGCGCTGACAGCCGTGCCAGAGTTCCCGAGCTTCAGCGCAAGCAAGGAGCGGGCGGCCCCGCACGCGCGAGCGGACGGAGCTGGCAGCCCCGCAAGGCGACTGGGCGAAGATGATTGGCATCACGTCGGCTGCTGCGGCGACCGCGAGGAGGACCTGGTGCCGCGCGCCATCGCCCGAGTCGGCGCCCCTCCCGGGCTCGTGCCCGCCGTCCTTCCTGGGGTCGATGTCCGTGGCCAAGGCGACCGTCTCGAACTACCAGGAGAGAGCCGAAGTCTTCCTGGGTTAGGCGATGCAGGCGGGGGTGAGCTGGACCACGGTCGGGGAGCTCGACCTGGCGCTGGCGCAGTACATGGACGGGCTGTTCTTCCTGGGGTGCGCCGGGGATATAGCCAGCAAGACCTTTGCCGCGGTCAAGTTCTACTGCCGCGAGGTCGGGCGGTACGGCGCGCTGAGCTTGCCGAGGGCGACCAGGGCGCTGGCCGGCTGGGCCAAGGTGGTTCCGCGAGCAACGCGGATGCCAGTGCCGTGGCTTCTTGCAGCGGCGCTGGCTGGGCATCTACTGTCCAGGGGCTTGCTGGAGCATGCTGCGGCGCTGCTGCTGGCCTTCAATGCCTGCTTCCGCCCAGGCGAGCTGGATGCGCTGACGCCCATGCAGCTGGTCGCGCCGGTGGCGGGCGCTGGGTTCGGACAGCAACAGCGGGCTTTGCTGCTGGATCCGAGCGAGCTGGGGGCGCCGACAATGGTAGGCGCCTTCGACGAGAGCGCCGTGCTGGACGGAGTCGCGCACCTGTACGAGTGCCTCGCAGTGCTCAAGCGGCGCGGCCAGCGCAAGACCGACAGGCTTTGGAGCTTCGCCCGCAACGACCTGTCCGTGGAGATGCAGGTGTCGGCGGGAACGCTGGGGCTGGGCCAGATGGGGCTGACCGTCTACGGCCTCCGGCACGGCGGCGCGTCGCACGACCTGCTGACCAGGGCGCGCTCGCTCGGCGCTGGAGGTCAAGTCACGGGGGCGCTGGCACTCCGACGTGATGCTGAAAAGGCACGGCAAGGAGGCGAGGGCCCTGGCAGAGCTGCGCGAGGCGCCAGCCCAGACGCTCGAGTTCGGGCGGCGCGTAGCAGCCAGGCTGTGGCCCATCTTCCTGGAGGGCGAGGGCCTGCCGCCGCTGCCAGCGCTGCTAGTGGGGCGTCGCTAAGCGATGGCGAGGTGAAAGTGAGGGTGCGTCGAGTCGTGAGAAAGGGCCTTCGCCCAGGTTTCAAGGACGCAGGTTTTTCGGGGGCTGTATTCAGGCCAGGGGGGGGCATGTCAAAAACGATGCGAAATCTCGGTTTTGGGGTGGTGCCCGTAGATATTTTAAAGCTCCCCTGGTTTGATATGGATAGGCCGTGCATCCAGAAGATCGTGAGGGGGTGGATCACGGGGGGCTTCGTCATCGGTCTCTGGATGGGCACGCCATGTTGTTCGTGGTCTCAGGCTCGGCAGGGGCCCCCCGAGTAGTAGCTGGTGCCGTCTCAGAAGCCCCTCTCACCTTTGTGGGGTGCCCAATCTTAAACCCCCGTGCCCACCTTGCCTGTGAGAAGGGCAATTTTCAAATTAAGTCTAGTCTTTCCCTGATCCGCGCGTGCCGCAACAATCACGTGCCTGTGGCGATGGAGAATCCTAGTAACAGCTGGATGTGGCAGACGTCTCAACTCGCCTGCCTCTCGGGGCGGGCCGATAGCCATCAGTGTGTCGTGGATTGTTGTGCCTTCGGAACCCGGTGGCGACAGCGCACTCGGGTGCAGGTCAGGAGTTCCAGTTTTCGGGTAAACCTCCCCGGGCCGTGCCGAGGGCGTTCTGGCCAGTGCAGTTTTTTCGGGTAAGCGCCACATAGTTTTCTCAGGCCGTGACCCAGGCTCGGGCAAACTTTGGACCAGTGTCTTTGAGCCCTACCCCGTCCGTTTTTGTAACTTGTTCGTCCGAGCCTTGGAGCAAACGAGCCAGCCGCTGAAATTTAGCCGGCTCCGACAGATTGTTAGTTGCGGCGAGTGCCAGAATCCCATTCGGGGTGGCTTGGGGTTTCTCTCTTCCTCTCTCGTTCGGTGTGTTTGTGTGTTTGTGGTGTGTGTCTGTGTTGTGTGTTGTGCCGTTCGTTCTTCTCCCTTTCCTCCGCCGAGCTTTGAGCGTAGCCCGTCCTGTCCTGCTCGACCCGCCAGGCTCGAGACACACAAAATGTCCTGGCTTGGTCGAGCGTCGCGATGGTGATGGTGAAGACGTTGATGTCGACGATTCGGATGCTAATGCTGCTGGTGCTGCCTATGATCAAGATGGTGTTGCTGCTTTTGGCGATGCTATCAGGTTGCTGTTGATGGTGATGCTGATGTTGCTGCTGATGATGATGGTGGTGGTGCGGTGTTGCCGATGATGACGAGGAGGAGGAGGCGGAGGAGGAGGAGGAGGAGGAGGAGGGGGAGGAGGAGGAGTTGGAGTTGGAGGAGGAGAAGGAGGAGGATGCGGAGGAGTGGTGGGAAGAGGAGGAGGATTAGCGAAGCTATGCGATTCGACTTCGGATTCGGGGAATCACAGCGGTTTGATGAGCAGAGTTGCACTAGCTATCGCACTGCACGGGCCAGACCAACGCCAATCAAGCAACCAGCCCGATCAAGCGCGTGGGATGCGCCGTCACCGACGCTTCGCAAGAGGCCATGACCGAAGCCAGGCGAATGGATATGTGAGAGGCTCACCACCGAAAACACCAGAAGCGGGAAGACCAGCAACAGTTCGCCCCCCCAAACGCCTCAGGCCCGAGATAGTGCACACGAAACTATGATATAGAGACGCGGCCGAGCCATTGCACTGCCTCGTCCGTTGCTTCGAGGGGTCGGGGAACGGGAATGGCGGGGGTGCCCTTCGCGCCTTCGGGGCGAAGCCCCGCCAGGTTGCTGTCTCTGTGCCATTTCCGCTGAGGGTTGTCCCCCAGCTGATCGGGGCCGAAGAAGTCACAGGGCTGTGAGTGGGCCCCTCGGCGATTATGCTGCAAGCAACGGCATCGCTCGCAAGGTACAAGCGATGGCCACGAGCGCTTTGAATCAGGACGGGCCCCGAGGCAGGCACGGGGGCCTCGGGCTGAACCGCGTGGCGCCTGCCGAGAGGGGGGCCGCTCTAGGGCGCTTCTTCGAGCCAGCGTCCACCGACCTCTGCAGTTCCAGGAGGGGTCTCGAGCACGGGGGCAAAATAAACCCGCGGCCGTACCACTCACGAGTTCATTCTCTGCCGTCTGGTCCTGACCAGGCTCTCCCGCCGGGCAGGGGGGGGCAGAGGGTCAGGAGATGCTGATCACAGCACAGCAGCAGAGCAGCAGCAATGGCCAGGATGCTGGTTTCTCAGGCGCGCCCGCGCCTGCCTCTGGTGGTGTCGCCGCACTCCTGTGCGGCAGAAAAGGGCCGTCTGGCCTCCCTGGGCCAAGGTGCCAGAGCCTGGAAGGCTGCGGAGAAAAGAGAAGGACGGGGGGGAAAGAGAAAGAGAAAGAGAGCCTGCTCGTCTGTCACTGCTACCACTCTCTACGAGTGAAAATTGAAAATGGATAAGACGAGCAGGCATTCGTCGCCTCTGCAGCTAAGCCCGCTCACAGCCTCACCCCTCTGGCCGTCTACCGGGCCGAACGCCGCGACGCACTGCGCAAGGGAGTGCGGGCGCCCCTCGTGTCCCCACTGCCCATGTCCTCGTCATCCACCTTCGGTGACGTGTACGCTCCACCTGGAGACGAGACCGTCTCCCAGTCCGAGGAAGAAGGCAGGGCTGCCCCGAACCTCTCGACCATGGTGCGCACGAACTTCTCGCGCCACGTCGGGTAGTCCTTCAGCTGCTCCATCCCCTCGTTCATGATCTTCTCGATCGCCGTCGTGTAGCCCTCCTCGCTTGGAACCGTCTGCAACGGCTTCCACACGCTGGTCACGCTGACCGTGTCCTCCTGCTCCAGCTCGCTGGCTGCCTCCACGTAGCAGGTGTACGGCTCCTCCGGCAGTCCGTCCACGACATTCTTCAGCCCCACCGGCGCCGCCGGCACGCCCTCCGTGCCCACCGTCAGCAGATGGTTGAAGATGCTGTCCAGGGCCTGGAGGTTGTCCATCGCCTCCTCCAGCACCGCCGCTGGGCCCTGCACCTGGATGTTGCCCGTGCTGACCGTGTAGGTTGCCGTGATGCGCCCGGCCGCGCGCCGCCCCAACAGCACGCTGGCCTCCACGCGCCCCTTGCTCGTGGCCCTGTTGTTGATCATGTTCTCCGGGCCCGCCAGCACCTCGAGGAGACAGCGGATCGCCAGCACGTCGCAACGGGCCGCGAACTTCATGGTTCTGGGTGCCAGCCCCGGCCGAATGCACTGAGGGTGTACTCCTGGTCTGAGCCGTGGCAGCTGTCGTGCTTGCTGCAATACCACGCTCCTGCCGTCTCCTACGCTCCTCTGCCGCTCTCTGCAGGTGCATCGACTCGTCGAAGAGCTGATACCGCCCGGACCGAATCACCGCTCGCAGCAGATCAATCGGTCTCGCCTCATCCTTCGTAAACCCGTCGGCCAACTGGCATGTCGTCGGAGCCCATCGCAATGTCGTCGACACCCGAGCTAGCGACTCTCGCACGATGACCACGTCGATCGCAGTTCGCTTGTCCTTCACCGGTGCCCCGGACCCCGTGATGTTGTCATACGCCGATTTACAGTCAATCACACACACTGATGGTCGTTTCGAGAAAGACTCCTCTCTCCGTGTCGGCTCGAAGTTCGGGTCGATCGCCTCCTGCATAATACTCATCATCCACTCCATGTGCCCAAGCCCATCCGCCAGTGTTTGAACTTCCCCCGCCAATGTCGCTGCTACCGCCCGTTTCAATCGGCTCGACTTCCAAACCAATGGTGACCAGTCACTCTCAGAATCGTTCATCACCGCCCGGTCCACCGCTGCTATGACATATCCTCCCTGTGTCCCCTCTCGCGTGGCGTTCGCAAACGCCGCATCGGTGTGGGCCATGAGGGTGAGGCTGGCAACTGGGATGGATCTGATGACGATCTCCAGATCCGCGAACTGGCGTGCTCGGCGGACCATCTGATTGATGAGTTTTTGCGTGGCCACAGTCGGGCGGCCCATCTGCTGCTGGGCCATATTCACCTGCACAGCTATGTCCAGTCGGGTCTGGGACTGGAGCCAATTGCCCTCGCCCAGCGCGCGCCTGCAAGCCGAGACCTCGGCAGGCGTCAGCTCCCGCTCGTCGGGGGCCGTGCGGTCCACCTTCAGCAGCCGCATGCCCTTCGCGAACTTCTCCTGGCCGATGTGGATGTTGAACTGCTCGTCCTGCCACAGCTGCGCGCCGCAGAACTCGCCGTCGCCGATCCTCCACTTGCGGAACGGCAGCTTGGACCGCAGCTCCTTGATGATCTTCTCGTACCGCTCACCGTCGCCGCCAGTGATCACGTCGTCCACGTGGATGACCAGCAGGCCCTCGAGGATCCCATCAGGACCCCGGCAGAAGAAGAGGCAGGGGTCCAGCCTTGACTGCTGAAGACCCGCCCCTCGTGCCACCTTCACGAACTTGCGGAACCACCGCTTCGGCGCATCGTTCAGCCCGTACAGCGGCAGGTCCATGCGCACGATGGAGTCGGCATGCACCCCCGGGATGCCGCCCGTCGGCTGCTGCATGTACAATGGTCCCTCGGGCCGGTCCAGCGCGTCGCTCTCGAGGAAGGCGCCCTTGACGTCGCCAATCTGCATCCGCCAGCGATTGCTCGCCAGGAGTTGCAGAGCCATCGCCCTCGCGTTCTGGCTCACCGTCGGGGCCTCCGTGTCGCCGCGCTCCACCAGCTTCAGCAAGTCCGGGTCGCCGAACCCCTTGACCGTCAGCCGGCCCTTGACCACGCCGTCATCCTTCTCGACGAAGACAAAGCGCGACTTGAGCACCCGGTCGGGGCTCACCGACTTGATGTGCCGAGACTCCTCTGGAGAGATCACCGTCACCGCGCGCTTCTCGTCGTGGATGGTGTTCCACTCCGTGACCTTGGCATCGTGGATGCGCTGCTTCAACTCCGGCGTCGCCTTGGACTCGTAGATCTCCTTGCGCCCCTTCGCGAGCAAACAGTCCTCCAGCTCCACGCCCTCGTCACCGGCCACCTCCAGCCGGAGGAGGCACTCCGTTGGTATCCCAGGAAGACCCCCGGGTGGTTGGTTGACATAGAACACCTGCCACTCCTCCGCCAGCAGCACCTCGTCCACCTTCACATCCTCGCGAGCCACGAAGAGGGTCTCCGTGGGCCTCATCACCTTAGCCGGTGGCTCTGGGATTTCAGGGTGCGGTTCCTTCACCCTGATGCGTCGCCGCCCCTCGACCTCAGCCGGCGTGGCGTCCTGCAGCGCCTCCGCCACCGGGTCCGCCGACCCTCGGGCACCGGTCGATGCCCTTGGGGGCGACCGACTCCTGGCCCGGCTCTCGAGCCGCTCCACCTCCGAGCGGACATACCCTTTCGGGTTGTCCAGCGCCACCGGCGCCGGTGGTTCTTCTGCGTTCTCCTCCCGGCTCTCCAGCTCTGGTGCCGTCGGCACCGGTCGCGGATCCTCGATCACCGGGTCGAACGTGATCTCCGCTCCAGGTGGCGCCTCCTCCTCGGTGATGTCGATGTAGCCCGGCTGCTGGTTCCTTGCCGAGGCCCGCGCCAGTGCCTCCGGAGAGAGAAGGTCCTCCTCCAGGTCCGCCGCCACGATCTCCTCCCGTGTACCTGGGCGCAGCTGCCAGGGCGCCGTCAAGAGCCACTGGCCGCCGAAGGACACGATGTAGTTGTCCCTCAGCTTGCCCACCACGCGCGCCAGCCCTCGCCATCTGGCCTTGGCCGCCTTCTTGGAATTGCCCTTGCCGCGCCTCCAGAAGGCCACGAAGTCGCCGGCCTTGAAGACCTGGCGCACCCTCGGCCGCGCATCCAGGGCTGCTCTCATGGCCCTGTCGTCCTTCAGGGCCACGGTCGCCATGCGCGCCGCTTGCCGCACCGCCGCCCTGCGGGCGAACTCCTCGTCGTGCATCACCGCCGAGTTGCACACCGGGTCGTTGCCGATCGGCTTCAGCGTCTCCGGCAGCGGCGGGTCCCGGCCGAACACCCACTGCAGCGGGGAGTAGCCGGATCGCCTGGTCAGCCGGTTCTTGGCCTCACAGCAGGCTGCCACGGCCTCCAGCCAGTCCGCCTGGTTGTCGATCGTCTGCTCGGCAATGACCTTCTTGAGGATGCGCTCGAACCACTGGCCGTGCACTTCCGCCTCGGCGTTCTGCTCGTGCGCGTCTCCAGCCGCTCTGTCGACGACGGCGGTGCCATCCTTCTCGAAGCCCTCCATCATGTCAGAGCCAAGGTTCGTCGTGCCACTGTCCACCTTCACCCGAGCCGGCGCATGGTAGTGCTGCACCCAAGTGTGGTGGTAGAGCCTCCGCAACACCGCCGAGGTCTCCTGCTCGAAGAATGGCTCCACCTGCTGCAGCTCCGACCCCGTGTCCACCACGTTGAGCGCCTTGACGGTGACCGGGCCGCCGATCCACCCGGGGAAGTGCTTGACGTCCAGGCTGATCGTGTGCAACGGTGGGACGTCCTTCGCCGGCGCCGCCGGCTGCAGCACCTTGGGTTGAACATTCATGTCACACACGTCGCAGGTGAGCCGGCGCGCGATCTTCAGCGCCTGCTCGCAGGCGCCGCCGTTCTTCAGCACCCGCACCAGGGTGTCCGCGCCAGGATGCCCCAGGTTCTTGTGGAGCCGCATCAGGGCGGTCCTGATGTTGTCCTCCGTCAGCTTCGGCAAGTCCCCTTCAGTCGCCAACGCCTCCGCCATGAAGCTCACGGCATCCCTCGTGTCAAGGGCTGCCAGCGCGCCCTCGACCACTCGCACCAGCAAGTCCTCCGGGTACGTCTCCGTGTAGCCGCTCCTCTTCGTACCTCCGTGCATGGTGCCCAGCGTCACCGTGTGCTGGTGGCCGCCGCGACACTTGGCCTCCACTGCCTCGGCCAGCGTAGCGTCGTTGGTGAGGAACTGCCACTGCTTACTGAAGTAGAGGTCGGTCCCAGGCTCCTTCAGGCCAGCTTCGCACGCCGCGCTGGTGACCAGGTAAAACTGCTCCCGGTAACGGTCCACGAGCGCCACCAGTGCCTTGACCTGCCAGGATTTTGCCCGCGCCGGCGCTTCGAACAGGAACAGGCGGCCGCCGCGGGTCTGCATATCCGCCACCCGCATGCACCACTCCACGTAGCCGATCGCCCGCTTGTAGTCGCGGATCCACTTCACCGGGTCCTTCGGACAGGCCGTGAGGTTCTGGAGGACCGACAGCATCCGGCACGGAGGGCTCATTAGCACCAGCCATGGCTTCTCGTGCTCAATGATGCTCTCCACCTCCAGCCGCACCTCCGGGTCGTCGAGGTCCCAGCCCGTCTTGAGATCGAAGGCCCCCAGACTCGACATGCCTGCCATCGCGGCGGCCTGGGCCAGCCGCAGTGGAGAGAACAGCTCCAGCACTGCCACGTCCGCACGGTTGTTCAATCGGGCCTGCGCCGCCGCCGCCATCAGTGTCCGGCGCTGCTTCTTGGTCAGCGTCACCGCCTTCACCTCGGGAAGATCCTCCACCTGGGCCTCCTGAGCCGTCATCAGCGCATGCTCTGGCACATCTTCAGTCGGCCGATCCATCTCTGCTGGGGTCGGACTGGCCGTCGTCGGGCGCTCCGTCTCCCCAGGCGAGCCCTCGCCCAGAGAATCGTTCGCACCGTCCAGGCTGTCGTCGTCGGTCACTGCCTCCGGCTGGGGTGGAACCTTCTCCACCTCCACTGCCGGGAGCTCCACCGTTGCGCTGAACACCTGCACCTCCTCCGTCTGCCAGCTCGGCCGGGCTGCCGGCCGCATGCCAGCCACCGGGGCCGTGCACAGGTCCATCACGTAGTGGCCCTCGGAGTCGCCAGACGTCTCGAGCTTGATCGTCTCGTTGAGCTTCTGGAAATGCATCTCGTCGGTGGCGAAGTTCAGATGACCACCGAGGTCCTTTGCCCAGCGCTTGGAGAGCAGCAGTGGGGTCGTTCCACGCACCACGTTGACGCACACCTTGATGAAGTGGCTTCCCACCCAGGCCGGCAGCCATACGCGCGTGTTGGACCGCTCCGTGTCGTCATTGCCGAACCTGAAGATGGTGTCCGTCTTGTCGCGCACCGTGGTGAAGTCGTCCTCCAACCCACCAGTAGCTTGCCACTTCTCGCGGTAGACCCTGAGGGTGTCCTGCCCGATGATGCCCTTGGAGCAGCCGCTGTCCACGCAGCCCGTGCCCTCGTTGATAATGAAGTTCGCCGACTCCTCCACGCCCTGCTTGGCCTCCTTCGGCCCTTGCCCCCAGCTCCTGACGTCGTCCAGCGTCGACTTGATGACGTCCCACGGGCGCACCGTCGCCGTCTCCATCGCGACCTTGAAGGCCGAGTACCCCGCGCACCAGCGGGCGCTACGCACCGACGCACTGGCCGATGAGGACCCAGCCGTCGACGAAGAAGGATTCCGTCTCGGCTCTGGACAGTTCCTGGAGAAGTGGCCTAACTTCTTGCAGTTGTAGCACTTAGTACGACGTCTCACCTCCTCCAACGGCGACTGCTTGACGCCGAACTTACGGCTGAGCTTCGTGTTATTGATCGCCGTACGTGCCTCTTTCCAGGTCCCAGCTGATTTCGTCCACGTCGCGAGGACATCCAGGGCCTCGTGCTCCTCCAGGACCTCGTCCTCCGGGATGTCCAGCGTGCCGTCGCGCTCCAAGAGCAGCGCCTGCACCTCGGCGCCCTCCACCACGTCCTTGGCCTCGCCCATCCCGGTCTCGTCCTCGCCGTCCTGCTCCACGAGGTGGACCCGGTTGCTCTGTCGTACAGGCTTCGTCTTGAACGTCGCCCGGAGAGCCGACGCCAGCTTGTTGATCTGCCACGATCTGCCCGATGCCGCGAGAACCACAGCACGATCAGTTGCCTCCAGCCGAGCACCCCGTAGCAGCGCATGTCCTTGCGCCTCGGGAGGATACTGGACACCCTCCTGCATCGCCTTCGCGAACACCTGCAGGGTCCGTCCCACGTAGTTCGTTGCACTCTCGTTGTTCTCCCAGCGCAGGTCGTAGACGGCGTCCAGGGCCTCCGCCAGGCGGTCCTCCGGCGCTGCCTCCGGGTATCGCAGGTCGAGCCGGTCGAAGATCACCTGCTCACCTCCCTCGACTGCCAGATCCGCGTCGACGTCGATGTCGTCGAAGATGATCTGCGCCACCCCGTCAAGGAAAGTGAACAGCAGCGGGCCCTTGTCCTCTGGCTTGAGATTGCTGCGCAGCAGGCGCGCCTTCGCCCACTGCTTCCAGCGCTTGTACTCCCGTGGGTCGAGAGTCTCCGCCGTGAACACCCGATCCTTGGTGTTCCCCTCTGCCGCCATGCCCGCAGCTCGCCCCTGAAGCTGCTAGACACCGTGTCGTCGCCTCTGCGCACACGCTCCACGCTACCAATGCTGATCACAGCACAGCAGCAGAGCAGCAGCAATGGCCAGGATGCTGGTTTCTCAGGCGCGCCCGCGCCTGCCTCTGGTGGTGTCGCCGCACTCCTGTGCGGCAGAAAAGGGCCGTCTGGCCTCCCTGGGCCAAGGTGCCAGAGCCTGGAAGGCTGCGGAGAAAAGAGAAGGACGGGGGGGAAAGAGAAAGAGAAAGAGAGCCTGCTCGTCTGTCAGGAGAGGAGGCTCCACCGAGGCCGAGTTGGGAGGAGCGGGGTCCTGGGGAGGTCCGAGGCGGGCCAAGGGAGGACGAGGAGGAGGAGGAGGAGGAGGAGGAGGAGGAGGATGAAGAGCAGGACGAACAGGAGGAGGAGGAGGAGGAGGAGGAGGAGGAACAGGAGGAACAGGAGGAGGAGGAGGACGATGAGGTCCTTGACACTGCCTTTCCCGAGGAGATATTGAGCATCGTGGACCGCACCGTGCCCCCGGTGCTGGCGGACCTGGCGGGTCTGCCGGAGCCTGGGGTCCCTGGGCCCTGTCGCCCTTCGCTTCGGGGCTCCAGGGGGGATGATGGTGATGGTGATGGTGATGATGATCATGATCAAGATCATGATCATGATCATGATCATGCTCATCATGCTCATGATGATCATTATGATCATGATGCTGAAATTGATGCTGATGTTGATGATGATGATGATGAACTTGATGATGATGGTGATGGTTATGCTACTGTTGATGATGATGCTGTTGATGAGGATAAGGGTGAATCTGATAATGGGGATAAGGATACTGATGAGGCAGAGGACGACAATGCGGATGAGGGTTATGATGCTAATGATTATGACGTTGATGTTGATGATGCTGATGGTGATGATAGTGATGATGGTGATAATGGTGCTGGAAATTGCGATGGTGATGCTGATGATGATGTTGTTGAGCATTACGATGGCGACGATGACGATGACGATCATGCTGATAAGGTTTATGATTCGAATGATGGTGGTGGTTGTGGTGATTATGATCTTGGTGGCTATGCTGATGCTGATTACGATGATGATGCTGGTCATGATGATGTTGAGGACCAGGATGATGATGATGCTGATTATGATGACGATGACGATGCTGCTGATCTGATGATTGCTGTGATGATGATGTTACTGAGGATGATGACGATGATGGGGTTGATGCTGAGGATGAGGATCAGGATTCTGATGTTAACGATGACGTTGACGATGACGATTAGGGTGACGATGATGATGCTGCTGACGAATATGACGATGATGCTGCTGTTGACGGTGCTGATGCTGTTGATGAGGAAGAGGACGGTTGTGATGCTGAGGAGGAAGGTGATGCTGCGGAAGATGATGATGCTGATCAGGATAATGATTATGATGCTGAGGGTGATGATGATACTAATGATGATACATATACTGATGATGCCGATGATGCTGATGCTGCTGATGCTGTTTCTGATGATGCTGCTGCTGCTGAAGATGGCGATGCTGAAGATGCTGATGCTGCTGATGATGATGATGATGATGATGATGATGATGATGATGATGACGATGATGATGCTGATTATGCTGATGATGATGCTGATGATGATGCTGATGATGCTGCTAATGCTGCTGATGCTGCTGATGAGGATGATGATGATGGTGGTGGTGGTGGTGGTCGTGGTGATGATTGTGATGGGGAGTCTGATGATGCTGATGGTGGTGGTGCTGCTGCTGATGATGATGATGATGATCATCATCATCACCACCACCACCACTACCACCATCAACATGAGGAGGCGGACGGGGACGAAGGATGAAGGAGGGTCTGGAGTCCTTCATCCCCTCCCCTCCACGCCCCTCCCGACCAACCCGAGAGCCCCGCCCCGAAGCGGGCTCCCCGAGGAGCACGCGACGCCCCCGGAGAGGGTCGCGCGGGCGCTGGCCTCCGCCGCGAGGCTGCGGTCGGTCGACCCCGCCGCGAGGGCGCCGCGCGGGAAGCGCCGCCGCCGCCGCCGACGACGACGAGGAGGAGGAGGAGGAGGACGACGACGACGAAGGAGACGCCGACGCCTACGCCTACGCCGACGCCGACGCCGATGCCGACGTCCTCGCGTGGCAAATTTGTGGTGTTATTTTTGGCATGTTTTCTCTCCTCGCCTCTTGTCTTTTCCCCCCCCTGCGCCCCGGAGCTGCTCGACCAGCCCGCGCGCTCGCTGGGCCTCGCTAACGACCCAAAGCCAAGGCGAAGGCCCGGGCCAAGGCAGGTGCTGGCCAGGGCCGCGGCGGCCGCGGGCGCGGGGCCGGCGCCAGCCCAGGCGGCGGCGGGGCCCCGCCGCTGGCCGCAGCCGCAGCCCTCCTCCCTTGCCCGTCGCGGCGCCTGGTGGCGGCGGCGGCGTCGCTGTGCTGCCCGGGGCCCCGGCGCTGGGGCTCGCCTTCGGTGGAGGAGCTCGACGATCGCAGACAGCCCCCCGAGCGACTTCGTCGACACGGCATGCTTCCAAGAGGCCTCCCCGCGATGGGCCCGCCCGCGGGCTGCCCGCCCCAGTTTGGAGGCGCAGCGGCCAGGGGGCTGCCCAGCTGGCCGCTGGTCGTGGAGGCTGGCGGGCGCGTTTGCTGCGGCCCCGCCGCTTGGCGCGGGGGCGCGCTGGGACACCGCGGCCGCCGCGGCGGCAGTGGCGAGAACCGCGGCCCTGGGCGCGGCGCGAGCGCAGGGTCACCTGGCTTGCAGGGGTGATGAAGCAGGCGATGCCACGAGCTCCAGGACCTTCGCAGCAGGACCAGGTGACCGCCCTGCTGGCGCCGAGGTGGCCGCTCAGGCGCAGGCGCTGGCGACTGCCGA